ATATTAAAGCTAATTTAAAGTTGTTGGTTTAGAGTACCTGGGTGACTCAGTTGGTTGAGACTCTGACTCTTGATTTCAGCTTAGGTCATGATCCACAGGGTCATGGGATCAGGCTCTACATTGGGCTCTATGCTCAGCATGGATTCTTTCTCTCCCTCTCCCCTGCTCGCATGCACTCTCTCTCTCTCTCAAAAAATTGTTGGTTTAATTAAAATAGCCATGTCTTTAGAGTTATCAGGATTAAATATAAAACTTTTATTCTGCCTATGTTTACTGAAAGTCAAATAAGTCCATATTATAGCTTACAAAATTTGTCAGGAAAAAGAAACTTAAAATAATGGTTGACTTTGTCTAATACCTTATAAAATTTTGTGGCTAGTCTCAGCATAACAGTTCAGAACAAGTAAATAGATGTAGGGGTGCCTGGTGGCTCAGTCAGTTGAGAGTCTCACTTCAGGTCATGATCTCACAGTTCATGAGTTCGAGCCCAACATTGGGCTCACTGCTGTCAGCTTGTCAGCACAGACCCCGCTTCAGATCCTCTGCCCCTCCCCTACTTGTGCTCTCCCAAAAAATAATAAAAATAAATAGAAATAAGATTAAATGGTTTGTAGGTAAACTTTTAAAGGGCTACCAAAATCTTCAGTAACCTGAAGTTTTAAAGTTTGGCTAAGTTAAATGTTAAGTTAAATTCATTGAATATCTAGATCATTTCCAAATAAGATAAAATAATGAAACCTTAAGTACCGAACATAGGTTTATCTGTTTTTGTTTCTTTTTTAAAAAATTTGTTGATTTATTTTGAGAGAGAGAGGGGCGCCTGGGTGGCGCAGTCGGTTAAGCGGCCGACTTCAGCCAGGTCACGATCTCGCAGTCCGTGAGTTCGAGCCCCGCGTCGGGCTCTGGGCTGATGGCTCAGAGCCTGGAGCCTGATTCTGATTCTGTGTCTCCCTCCCTCTCTGCCCCTCGCCCGTTCATGCTCTGTCTCTCACTGTCCCAAAAATAAATAAACGTTGAAAAAAAAAATTTTATTTTGAGAGAGAGAAAGTGAATGTGAGCAGGGGAGGGACAAAGAGAGAGAGCATCCCAAGCAGGCTCTGCAATGTCAGTGCAGAGCCCAATGCAGGGCTTGATCCCATGAACCATGAGATCACGACTTGAGCCAAAATCAAGAGCCAGTCACTTTACTGACTGAGCCACCCGGGCGTCCCTCTATTTTTGTCTTATTACAGAGAAACTAAAGATAAATTTGGGTCTGTGAGTAAACCTGGTTTGTTCTTTACTGAAAGACTGTACTATGATGAAGTACATGTTTCTAAGTTACAAAATGTATTCACAAATTTGCCAATCTAAAAAATACTGGTATTATAGTTCACTGTGAAAGTGAGGTACCTCCGTCACAGACCTGCTAATCTGTGACACCAGGCAGGCACTCCTGTAATGGATCTTCCTGGCACAAACAGGAAACAAAGGTTGAGATGACAAAGGTTCCTATGGGTTGGGACCTCTTAAGAACTGTCATGGCCAGAGAAAGACTTGGAGACCCATTCTGTTTGGCCACCAAGGTACACCCTGTTAAGTGCATCCTCTAGATGGTGGAGACCAAAGAGAATATTCTCACTGGTCACAAAGTCAAGCTCTTAGGACAAAGAACAAGACAAAAGGAAAAATCCTATCCTGTATATGTGCACTTCAACAGCTTTACCTAAGTGTTGTGTAGCTTGGAGCCACACTAATACTTGAAGGATGTGCCACAGGGTTGGGGATTGTGTGTTGTTTCACAGGGTGCCTTTTTCTTGAGGCTGGCAGGTGATCTGTTATCAATCCAACCTGTTCTGTGACCAACTTACCCTATCACAGGAGACTTCTTGAAGTGGTGAGTGCTCGAACAGATATTTAAAAAATATATTTTATTTTTTGGAGCACCTGGGTGGCTCAGTTGGTTGAGCATCTGCTTTTGGCTCAGGTCATGATCTCATGGGGGTTTGTGAGTTCGAGCCCTGCATCAGGGTCTGTGCTGACAGTGAGGAGCCTGCTTGGAATTCTCTCTTTTTAAAAAAATTTTATTTTTTAAGCAAAATCCACACCCACCATGGGTCTCAAACCCACAACCTTGAGATCAAGAGTCACACACTCCACTGACCAAGCCAGCCAGGAGCCTTAGTTCTAACTTCTTTTAAGTGTTCAACCCATGTCCACCAGTTTTGCAGCTTTGAATTCCAAGAAGTCTGTTAGCAACAGCTTTGACTTCATGTACCCATTAACATAGGACAAAGTTTGTAGGACAAGTGACATAAAAGACACTAAGGAGAACAAAGACCATCTCTGGGGGGAAACAGATCAGTTACCAAAGAGTATCCTACAAAACTCAACAAGAGTCAGTCCCTAAGCCCAAGGAACCAGACCTACAAGTATTTTCTCCTGTTAATCTAAATTTGGAAAGAGAAAAAGGACTCTTATCATTCTTGCTCCACCAGACTCTGTAGATAGAGATTCTCAGAGACTGACATGCTAAGAAATCTTACCTTGTGCCAGCTGTCCTTAGGGACTTTTGGCTATCATAGTGTGTGGGGCGAGCAGGGTCCAGTGAGTTAAGGTGTCTGCTGACACATGAATTGTCTATTGGGGAGCAAGAATTTCCTGTCCCCCTCAAGGTCCTCTTAGCTGGACTAAGAATCAAATTGACATGAGACAAACAGAAGAAAACCAAATTCAATTTCACGTGTGCAGAGAATCCACACAGACCTGAAAATTCCAAAGATGATCAGGCAAAATAAGGTATTTATGTCATCCTGAACTAAGAGGGTAGGAAAAAAAGAAATATTACAAATCAGCCACAAACATACTAACTAATCACTAATCCCCAGACTGGCAATTTCAAATGCTGTCTAGAGTCTAGTCATTCCTCCAGCGGAAATAGCCCTCCATTCTACTCTGCCTGCTCATATTTTCTACATCATTCTAGATCCAGCTCAGATATCATTTCTTTTATGCAAAGTTCTTTGATGTGCTCAGAGCATATAACTCCCTTCTTTATCTGTTTTCCATAACACTAGTTAATGCTTCTAAAACAGCACATTTCAGATGAAGTTATAATTATTCACCTATCTCACATACTGGAACATAAGTTCTTAAGGTAAGGCCTCAGATCTTGTAATGACACTCACAGTGTCAGGGCAAAAGTAGGTCTGCAAGCCCTGTGACTTGAATAGAAATCTCAACGCGTCTCATTACGCAGTAATGGGCTCAAAATATAGGAAGAAAGGTAAGGAGTAGTATAGCAGCATCTTGCTTTGAGATAATCTCCGGGAGTTGCACATAATCCTGGCACCACGATAGCAAGGGTTGCTTGATACTTGTTTTTCTTAGATATTCAATCAGGAGCAAATCTCCTATTTTTGTCTCTGTTTCAATTACTTCTACAGGAAAGGCCTGTTACCCTCCTGTCTTCCTCCTGTTTCTCCTTTGGAGTGTGCTGAATATTTTCCATTTCTCCTGCCTTCCAGCTCTATTTTGTGTTTGTCTTTTATGCCTACTCTGTGTTCAGGAAGGTGATTTCTATAGATGCATAAACTGAGATGTTAGTTCCCTTCTGAGTTCTGAATAAATTCAGAGCATTGGACATTAAGAAAGTCAGAGTATTTATTCCCTCAATCCTACCCTGTCAGGCTATAGTTCAGGCAGTGGTTGTATCGCTTTACTATAGACACATCTCCCGTTGAGGCATCCACTCTTTCTTTCCTAAAGGTCTATTTGGATCCCAGTAATGCCCTCCTTCCCTCATCCTTTCCAACTTAGGATGGTAACCTCTTCCTGCTTATGCTAGTCTCTGAGTACTTTATATCTTGTTATTTACCTTAATCCTACCCACCCTCTGAAAATCGTCTCATCGTCACATTCTCTTTAATTAGCCTTTTTGAGTATGCCACCTGTTTCTTCCCAGACCACTGACAAATTAAAGGAAGATACTCAAATTTCCATTACCCTCTGCTCCTGCCCCTTTATAGGCATCTCAGTGGTGGGTCCTGGTGCCAAACTTGGTGAGGGCAGACTCCAATTGAACGAGAAATAACCTGGGCTTTGGGAGTGATGCCTCTAGCCTCATACAAATGACAATTTGTTCAGTCCAGAATAGCCTCCATGCAAAGCCTTCCTCATCTCACTGACCCCTGATGCATACATAAAAATGAAGCTTGCTTACCTGCTGAAAAAGCCAGGAAGTAGTCACTCTTCTTAAAGTTGCCACTTTCATCCAGGAAGTGGCCAGGATCAAACTGATCTGGGTTGGGAAACTCTTTGTCATCATGCAGGACAGAAGTCAGAGATGTTAATATGGTTGTGCCCTGATATAAAGAGAAACAGATAAACTGGATTATGATGAAGGTCATGGAGCTTGAAATCCTTTTGTTTTATAGATGAGGAGACTGAGACACAGAAGTGATTTATTTACTCCATGTCACAGAACAAACTAATGACCAACCCTAACAGGTTTTAAATCATGTAATGGCAGTCCAAAGCACTGTTAACAGACTCCAAACTTTGTAGCCTGACACCAGCACTTGCTTTTCAGAAAACTAAGGGAGCTCCCTAGAGTGCACTGTTGACCAATGGATTTCAGTATTGTCTCAAGGTGCTGATGCCACTGAAAATAAGGTCTTCAAAACTCTACTTGAGTGGCCATATTCTTGAAAGCCCTTCATCTTCCCATCAAAATGACAAACTTAGGGGTGTCTGGCTGGCTCAGTTGGCAAAGTGTGGGACTCTTGGTCTCAGGGTCTACGGGTTCTGACTTTGGGCATAGAGCTTACTTAAAATTTTTTTAAAGGTAACAAACGGGTAAGTTTAAAAGAGCTATGCTGTTTCAACTGAGTTGTTGCATATTATTGTAGAAATGAGAGAGCATTTCTGCTTCCTAGTAGGGTGTTATTAAACTCATAGATACAGTGCAACATAATGACTTGGAGGTTAGTTTTCAAAATCAACTGAATCTTTGGAAGACAGTATGGTCAGTCCTAGAATAGGCTTCCATATAAAGTTAGTTACAAAACACTTCTCCTGGCTGGTGGGACCATCTACTTCAGACTATAACAGAATAACTGCTTTGGAGTTGTCCTCACGACTAACACGAATATAAATCCAGAAAAAAAAGTATATGAAGAAACAGTTCTCTGGCACAGAACAAGAGGCAATCCAGGATTGTGATACTTCACTAAAGAAAAATTAGGAGGAAAGTGTTGTCAGGCAGAAATTCAGAGTGATTGTAGGGTCTACCTAAGAGTTCAGGGAGGTGAGGGTCAAGCAAAGTGCTACTCTTTTTTGAGCTAAGGAGACAGAGATAAAAACTTGGCATCTAGAATTCATGAAGAAGGATACAGGCCAAGAAGAATCTACAAATAGAGAGGATCTCAAAGGTATATAAGACCTATGACCTTATAAGACTCTGTGAGTCCATGATTATGGGTTGGGAGGCACAAACACAGGAAACTCCATGAAGCCTATCAGGGTACGACTGCTTGAGAACTGCAGGTGGATAACACATGTTATGCAGTGATAGAGGAACTGAGGTTCCAACCCAGCTAGGATGGAGAGAACTTTCTTAGCACCTCAGATGCTAAGGCAACCCCAAACTTCTAAATCGTTGGACTAAGGAACTCACATCAGACTAAGGGCCATGCATGAAGACTAATTTCAGAATTGAAACCAATCCACAATGAAAGAGTTATAGTAAGCCTCACAGACTGAAAAGCATCTGTCAGTAATTTAGCTGCCTGCCAAAATAAAAGTCAATGCTCTTTAAAGGAAGACAGCATAATCCAGACTCCCCACAAGGCATCATTCAAAATATTAAGCATATAATAAATCATTAAACATGTGAAAAAAGAAATGTGACCCAAAATTAAAGAAAAAAAATTCATAGAAACAGACCCCATAATATCCTAGTTGTCAGATTTATCACATAAGAGCTTCAAAGCATATGAGTGTATGAGTTTGTGTTTAACAGACACAGAACAGTCCATCCAAAAGCAACAGAGTACATGTTCTTCTCAAGCACATGTGGAATATTCTTCAGGACAGATAATATGTTAGTGCACAAAATAAGCATTAACAAAAGGCAGAAGATTAAAATCATATCAAGCATGTTTTCTGACCACAGTGATATGAATCTAGAAACATGAACAAAACTGAAAAATTCACAGATTTGTGGAGATGAAATATCATGCTACTGAACAACCAATGAATTAAAGAATAAATCAAAAGAGAAACACATACCCTGAGAGAAATGAAATGGAAATACAACATACTGAAGCTTATGGGATGCAGGAAAAGCAGTTCAAAGAGGAAAGTTCATAGTAATAAATGCCGACATCAAGAAATATGAAAAATCTCAAACAACTTAACTTTATGCCTCATGGAACTAAAGAAAGAACAAATGAAGCCCGAAGTTAGGAGGAGCAAGGAAATAACAAAGATCAGGGTTGAAATAAATGAAATAGAAACTAAAAGAACAATAGAAAATACCAATGAAACTAAGAGCTTGTTTTTTGAAAAGAAAGATAAGCAAAACTGAATAACCTTTAGTTAGTCTCACTAAGAAAAAAGAGAGGACTCTATATCAGAAATGAAATAGGCTATTACAACTGATACCACAGAAATCAAGAGAACATGAGACTGCCATGCATAATTATATACCAACAAATTGGACAACCTAGAAGATATAGATAAATTCCTAAAAACATACAACATACCAAGACTGAATCACAAAGAAATAGAAAATCTGAACAGACCTATTACTCTGATTGAATCAGTAATCAAAACTCTCTCAACAAACACAAGTCCAGGACCAGATAGCTTCACTGGTAGATTCTACCAAATATTTAAAGATGAATGAATACCAATCCTTCTCAACTCTATGTAAAAATAGAAGAGGAGGGTATACTTGTAAATTCATTTAGTGAGTCCAGCATAATCCTAGTACAAAAACCAGACGAGGATATCACAAGAAAAGGCAAATATCTCTGATGAATAAAGATGTAAAAATCCTCAGCAAAATCTTAGCAAACTGAATTGAAGTACAATAAAAGGATCATACACATAATCAAGTGGGATTTATCTTGGGGATGCAAGGATGGTTCAACATCCACAAACCAATGTGATACACATTAAAAAATGAACTATAAAAACCATATGATTTCAGTAGATGCAGAAAAAAGCATCCGACAAAATTCAACATTCACTTATGACAAAAGTTCAACAAGTAAATAAAGAGGAAGTGTACCTCAACATCATAAAGGCCATATATGATAAGACAACAGCAAACATCATACTCAATGGTGAAAGGCTGAAAGCTTTTCCTTTAAGATCAGGAACAAAAGAAGGATGCCCACTCTCACCACTTGTAACGTTTTTTGTGCTTTTTTTGTTTTTGTTTTTTGAGACAGACAGAGCATGAACGGGGGAGGGTCAGAGAGAGAGGGAGACACAGAATCCAAAGAAGGCTCCAGGCTCTGAGCTGTCAGCACAGAGCCCGACATGGGGCTCGAACTCACGGACCGCAAGATCATGACCTGAGCCAAAGTCAGATGCTTAACCGACTGAACCATCCAGGCGCCCCCCACTCTCACCACTTTTATTCAACATAGTATTACACATCCTAGTCTAGAGCATTAGCAAGAAAAAGAAATAAAGGGCATCCATACAGGAAAGAAAGATAACATGATATTGTAGATCTAAAGACTCTACCCAAACTGTTAGAATAAACTGATACAAAATCAATACACAAAAATCTGTTGCATTTCTATACATTAATAATGAACTATAAATTAAGAAAACAGTCTTATTCACAATGGCATAAAAAAATCTAGTAATAAATTTAACCAAGGAGGTGCAAGATTGTACACTTAAACCTGTAGGACACTGATGAAAGAAATGGAAGAAGACACAAATAAATGGAAAGATATTCTGTGCTCATGGACTGGGGAAAATTAATATTGTTAAAATGTCCCTATCACCCAAAGCCATGTATAGATTCAATGCAATACCTATCAAGATTCCTATGGGATTTTTTTCCAGAAATAGAACAAGTAATCCTAAAATTTGTATGGAGCCACAAAAGATCCTGAATAGCCAAAGAAATCTTGAGGAAGAAAAACAAACCTGGAGGCATCAAACTTTGTGATTTCGAACTCTGTTACAAAGCTATAGTCATTAAGACAGTATAGTATTGGCATAAAAACAAACATGGATAAATGAAACAGAATAGAGAGACCAGGAATAAACCCATGTATATATGGCCAATTAATTTCCAACAAAGGAGCCAAGGTATACAATCAAGAAAAGATAGTCTCTTCAATAAATGGTGTTGGAAAAACTGGGCAGCCACATACTAAAGAATAAAACTAGACCCTATCTTACACCGCACACAAAAATTAACTCAAAATAGATTAAAGAATTTCACATAAGACATAAAACCATAAAACTCCCAGAAGAAAACATAGGCAATAAGCAGCCTGGGCAATGAATACTATGAAGAAAATCCTGTGGGAGTCTAAGCACTATTACATATAAAATTGTATCAACAGAGTAAAAGGACAGAAGTATGTAGTCATAGGGTAAGATGCCTGGGTTATGACTGTGCCATGCCTGTAGATGGTTATCTATAATCCTACTATTGTGATGGTTGATAACCTGAGATTCTTAAGGAGTAGTACAGATGAAATATCTCTCACCTTGGGAATGAGGTATTCTCTGAACTTAGTGTCCTGAGTCACTGAATGGGGCAGACTGTTGGGGACGAGGTCAATGAATCTCTGGATCTCATGTACCACAGCATCTGTGTAAGGCATGTGGTTCCTGTCCTGCATGCAGGGGCTCCGGTATCTGCCAACCACACTGTCAATCTCTTCCTGGACTTTAGCTGGCAAGATAGGAATCAGAATTTATGTGAAATGAAAATGTCTTTTGGCTTAATCTTCTTATCATGGTTACATTGTGGTAAGAGATTGGGTGAAGGGAAAATCACTTATGGTTACTACCACAGGGGGAAAAAAAAGAAACGATTTGTTTCCTGGGCAAATTGGGATCTCATTAGAGACTTAAATATATGTACATATAAAACATAATTATCCCATGAAATTCAGCTCTGATTCTCTGTTTTGTGTACTTTTGTTTGATAACTCAAGGATCTATGATCTTGAAGGCTCACTACAGACCATGCTGTTTAACCACTTTGTGTATGCCAGTATTTTTAGAAAAAAATTTTAAACTTTATTTATTTATTTTGAGAGAGAGACTGAAGGAGGGGCAGAGAGGGAGAAAAGAGAGAATCCCAAGTAGGCTTCATGCTGTCAGTGTGGAGCCTGATACAGGGATCAATCCCAGGATTCATGAGATCATGACCTGAACCGAAATCAAGAGACACCTAACTGAGCGAGCCACCCAGGCATCCTCAGTTTTCATTTTAAGTATGTAAGTTCCAGGGGTGCCTGGGTGGCTCAGTTGGTTAAGTGTCCGACTTCGGCTCAGGTCATGATCTCACAGTCCGTGAGTTTGAGCCCCACGTCGGGCTCTGTGCTGACAGCTCAGAGCCTGGAGCCTGCTTCGGATTCTGTGTCTCCCTCTCTCTCTGCCCCTCCCCCGTTCATGCTCTGTCTCTCTCTGTCCCAAAAATAAATAAACGTTGAAAAAATAAATAAATAAATAAACAAACATTAAAAAAAATTTTTTTAAATAAATAAATATGTAAGTTCCAAGAGGGTAAGAACTACCCAGTGCCATAGATGCTTAATAAATAGAACTGAATAAGATATTTGATTCAGCACGTAGTAACAAGAAGTTAACATTTATTTAGAATGCAACATATGACAGGCATGTTGTATGACATATTACATTACTTTATAATTCCTCAAAATAGGTCTATGTGTTAGGTATTACTTTATGTGTCTTAAAAATGAGGAAACAGGTCCATAAAAGTAAATATACTTCTCAAGGACACCCAGGTATTACGTGGTTTTTCTCATTTCCAAACCCACAATCTTAGCAATTGAATAAGATTACTGAAATTTATGTTATGTTAATTGAAATGAAATTTATGTAATTTATGTTAATGAGTTATATTTTTCCTTTATTTGCAAAATATATGATACATAGTTTAAGTAGGACTACTCATTAGTTAAAACAAACGTTTATTAACTTTTTCTTACGAGGGAGACGCTCTATGAATGTTAGGAAGCATTATCATCTCCCTTAAACAGATGAGGGGTCAAGATAAGCAGAGAGATAGTCATGAGTTGAGGTCACACAGCTACTTACTAGTAAAGTCAGAATCCAAACCCACTGTAGATAGTCTATAACCCATTTTCTCCAGTACCATGTTGCTACTTTGGTCAAATGGTATTTATCTACTACCTGAAGAAGGAGTCTTTGTTAATGGATTATGTGAAAATTCCGTGGTTTGGTAGCTATCAAGAAAACTTAGGAATTTTAGAGAAGTTTGAAGTTTTACCTTCTCAGGTTGAGAGGCTGGATTTTTATCTAGAAGAGAGTGATTATATAAAGTGGTTAGGAGCTACTTGTAAAATCAGAATGCTTAAAAGAATGGCACAGTAAGGGATGAAAATGGGAAGAAAAGAAAAATACAAACGGATGTGATGTAAGAAAAAATGAAAATGGAAGCAATGTGGAAATATTACACAAAAAGGGCTTTTGCAATATACACAAGACTTAAAGGTTTGGAGAAAAATGTCTTGGTATTCATAGTCATAGTCAACATAGGTCTAATAAGAGTTAGTGAAGTTATTTGGCTGAAAGCGCGTCACTCAAAGGAAATAGCGCCATTATATCGCACAACGTATGAAAACGGGAATTTTGAGGCTATGCTTGTAAATTGCATCATTTGGAAAGCAGTTATTCTTTATAATGGGAGGACAGAAGGACCTTCAACAAAGGAGAAAAATCTGGTGATGTCATGGAGAAAAGCTTCCTGAGATGTAACTGTACTAAGAGTGTCTTAATGTGCCAAAGCACAGAACACTATACAGTAGTGAAGGAAATATCCTCTGAGATTAGCACTCAATAAAAAAAAGGAGGAAAAATGGAAAGGTATTTGCAAGAGAAATCATATTTGTGAGGAAGAATTTATTTGCCCAAAAGGGTATATTTGAAAAGAGTTTATTTGAATAAAGTTTTATTTAGGGAGTCTCTTTGATAAAGAAAGATTGTAATTTCGTTGAGTCAATCCTTACACTGCAAATTCATTTGAGAAGAAATATCTTTTGATATAGGCTCCTGGGTGGCTCAGTCGCTTAAGCGTTGGAACCTTGATTTTGGCTTGGGTCATGATCTTGCAGTTTTGTGATTTCGAGCCCCACATCCGGCTCTGTGCTGACAGTGCAGAGCCTGCTTGGGATTCTCTCTCTCTCCCTCTCGAGCCTTCTCACTCTCTGTCTCTCTCTCTCTCAAAAAAAATAAACTTAAAAAAATATCCTTTGACAAAAATACATTTATCTGGACATGGAAGGCATGTCAAGTGACATCTTTTTAGAGAAAGCAGAAGGGTGATCCTTTTAGATCCTAAGAAAACTCTGCTTATTGCATCTGTCCCAACACAAATCAGGGACATTCCACCACAGCAGGGAAAACAATGGCCTCTGCCCTTCAAATTTCTGCTGCTGTTTAAATATTTCATTATCTTTTTGTACTATAATTGAATTTGAATTTAATTTATCCAATGACAGGAAGATGTACTAATGATGGAAATATTTTTTTAAATTCTTTTAATCTTTATTTTTGAGAGACAGAGAGAGAGAGACAGACAGACAGACAGACAGAGTTCAAGCAGGGGATGGACCCAGAGAGAGGGAAGCATAGAATCCAAAGCAGGCTCCAGGCTCTGAGCTGTTAGCACAGAGCCCGACGCAGGGCTTGAACTCACAGCTGTGAGATCATGACCTGAGCCAAAGTGGGACGGACGCCCAACCGACTGAGCCAACCAGGTGCCCCAGAAATATTTTTTTATTTAAATGTTTATTTATTTATTTTTGAGAGAGAATGAGCGGTGGAGGGGCAGAGAGAGAGAGAGGGAAAGAAAGAATCCCAAGCAGGTTCCACACTGTCAGCTCAGAGCCAGACTCGGTGCTCAATCCCACAAACTGTGAGATCATGACTTGAGCAGAAATCAAGAGTCAGATGCTTAACTGGCTGAGCCACCCAGGCGCTCCTAATGATGGAAAAATTTTCCTGTGCATTGTCTAGGCAGGTGAAGAGCGGGATAGTTGTCAGTGTCGCCTTCTAATGTCTACCAGGAATTTCATCCTGCCCATCACCTGTGGCCATACCTGTGACCTCTGGGTGCTTCAGCAGGAGCAGGAGTCCATATCTCAGGGTGGTGCTCGTTGTCTCTGTTCCTGCACTAATCACATCCCAGACAGTAAAGATCAAGTTGTCCATGGTAAATTCAGACTGTTTATTGTGTTTTTCCTAGAAATAATGTGTTAGAATTACTTGATAAATGAAAGAGCCTCAGAGGTAACATAACTCAATATGACACCGTTATCTGGTGTGAGGGCTACAGTTAAAATATACTCAGAGTTATAAACTTCCAACAAGCCCTTTCTGATTCTTCACTTTCTCATCCCCTAGAGTTGATCAGTTCCTCTATAATTTCTTTGAAACATAATTTTTATCAAGTCCTCACTGCTACTCACTGTCCATTCTAGTATCTAATTACCTATTTTATAATGTCTGTTTTTCTCATTCAAGCCTCCAGAACCACCCATCCCCCACAATGCAGCTATATTCCCAACCTCATCAGTCATCACATCCATGACAGTTGCTCAGTTACAATCAAGATCACCTCTCTGAAAGTTCCACACACTTAATCACTGCACTTACCGTTCCCTGGACCTACTTTATGTCTGTTCATCTAAGCTATAGTTTCTTCAAAACCTACCTCATCTGTGAAGATTTCCTAGTGCCACTCCAAAGGTAAGCCTTTCTAGATTCCTATCTGTTCCTGTGTTCCCTTATCTGTTACATCTTCCATTCTCAGAACTTACTTGATGAAGGATGATTATGTTGTGTATCATTTATCTTGAATGTGTGTGTATTTCAGTCTGTTCTCAAATTAAAAAAAACAGCTTTCACATGATAAATATAAAACCTCCTAAGTCACTTCCAGTGAGAATTTAGAAATATCTCGAGATACCCAATGACTTGCACAATTATAGGTTATGCAAGCAATTAATACATCTTCAGTATATCCCAATTTCACTGGGAAGAACAAAGCTAATCCATGAGTCTCACCAACCCACAAAGATAAAGGGTCACATTATACCTTTTCTATTTTGATCAGGAAGTAGTCAATAAAGTCTCGAGGGTTACTGAGGTCCAGGGATTCTTGGTGTTCTTTTATTTTTTCCACAATAAACTTACATTGGTTAGCAATGTTTTTAAGTAACACATTGTGACATCCTGGAAAGTGTATTAAAAGAGGAAAAGCATTGCAGAGCTGAAAGAGGAAAGAATCACTCATTAATTCACTCAGCAAAGTTCTGTAGGCTCATATTATGCATCAGACACCGAGTTCTATGCTGAGTAGATAAAGGTAAGACACGCTTCCCTCACTAGAACATACCTGGAACTTGAAGGAGAGAGAACTGACAAAATGTTTGGAGTTAGAGTATGCACAAGTCACAAAGCAATTTCAGAACCATTTAATTTCCCAACCATAACTCTATGAAGGAATCCAGGAGTATATCACCTCTTCCAAAGGAGAATACTAAGGTTCAGAAAGGTTAGTCAACCATTCTAAGACACCAAACTAGCAACAGAGCTAGAACCTAGTGTTCACCCTGGTTTACTTACACATATTTCTACAGCCCCCTAAAAAAGTTTGCAGGGCTTTTTTTTTTTTTTTTTTGTAATTAAGAAACTACATCAGAAAAATTAAAGAAATGGCTAAATTAGCTTATTTTTATTTAGGAGTTTTATACCTTTAAGAATGTGCACATTGCCCTTATTTATCTGTCCATTGCTAGTCCTAGAGTGTATGGACTCTGCTCTAAACAGTACTTCACGACTTAATACCGTTGTTAGGCACTGAAGCAATTTATTCAGGCTGGTAGCATGTATCCAACTAGACAGAGAATTGAGAAATCTAGATTCTGGGTCTAGCTCATTCCTTGCCTCGGCTAGGCCATTTTGGAAAATATGCTTAATATCTCTGGGTGACAGTTTCCTGGTCCAAAAACGAGTAGATGCTTTGTTCTCAAGAGTCCTTTCCAGGTGGAACACATCATAACCTTTTGATCCACACAGAACTTTAGTTCTTAATGATCATACAACATAAGATACTAACATTTTCTGACACTCTACTATAGTAAGACATACGTTTGACATCACCACCTTCTTCGTCTATGGATATAAAAAAGGTTTCTCAAAAAAATACCTTGCTATAATTGATGAACTATACTACATTTCTCTATTACTATATTTCATGTTTTAAATTTCATTTCAATACATTAAATTGATTTGATAAGTCACTAATTGGCTACAAATGATAATTCGATAGACATTACTTTAGCCATTTGGAAATAGGGCAAAGGACCAAGGTAGGCATGAGTGATAGATTACCTAGAAAATTATTTCCCATTTATTTATTTATTTTTATTTAAAAAAATATTTTTTTTAAATGTTTATTTTTGGGAGAGAGAGCATGCGAGTAGAGGAAAGGGGGAGGAAGAGGGAGACACAGAATCCGAAGCAGGCTCCAGGCTCTGAGCTGTCAGCCCAGAGCCTGACGCAGGGCTCTAACTCATGAACTGTGATATCATGACCTGAGCCGAAGTCAGATGCTTAGCCGACTGAGCCACCCAGGTGCCCTGATTTTTTTTTAAGTTTATTTATTTATTCATTTATTTATTTGTTTAGAGAGATCGTGTGCAAGTGGGGAGGGGCAGGGGGGGGGAGAGAGAATCCCAAGCAGGTTCCACAGTGTCAGCACGGAGCTTGACTCAGGGTTCGAATCCACGAACTTTGAGATCATGACCCGAGCCGAAATCAAGAGTCAGATAACCCACTCAGTCACCCAGGTGCCCTGAAAATTATTTCCCATTTAAAAAGAACCTTGGCTGGGGGCACCTGGCTGGCTCAGTTGAAAGACCATGTGGCTGTTGATCCAGGGGTTGTGAGTTCGAGCCCCATGGTGGGTGTAGAGATTACTTAAACACATTTTTTAAAAAAACTAAAACAAGAATAAAAATAAGGAGAACGTTGACATTACCTGTATCCAGGAGTTGCTTGAAATTAGGAGGTTTTCATGAAAATAATTTATCAAGATTGAAAATTTCTCATCATCATACTCAAAACGATTCTGGAAAACAACAGAGCAGATCACATTGCAGGAAGCACAGCCCAGAAGGAAAGTAGGATCACAGGGAGATGCTAAAACAATAAAAGTTAAAGGTTAGAGCACAATTTTCATATAAATCTTAAGTTGACTGTTTTAAACAATTAAGAAGGGTTAACTTCTGGGATTTTTTTTAAGTATAGGAATTCCCTGGACATGTGATCATCACTATAAACTCAACATGCCTAAAATTTATCGTGCTTCCCCAAACAAAGCTGTCTACTCCAGTCTATTTATTTCCCCCCAAGTGTTCTCCTTGGGGAACTCCCCAAGAGTTCCCCCAAGTGTTCCCCAAATAAGAGCCACAAGATAATTCACAAGAATTACTGGGCACAGTCTGGATAAGCATAGGTCGGGAGCATCCAAAATAATGGAACACTGTACTAGTCTGTTAATAATGTTCTTGATAAACATTTATAGATTAAACCTGTAAAAATATTTAATATATTACGTTGAAATTTTGCAAAACCATATGCGTAGTATAAGCCTCACATCTGTATCCCTCTTCTGCCAGGTCTCCCACCCGTTCTTTGTTGATAGACATCAAAAGTCCAAATGACAGTCATTGAAACTCTATTGCCACCTCCAGAGATTTATTCCAAGGAAGAAAGAAGTGCAAATACTTGTAAAAATGGCATGTTTAATATTAATAGCAGGGAAAAAAAAGGGAAACAACTTGTCTGGACAATATATAACATTGGTTAAAAAACACAATGCCGGGCACCTGGGTGACTCAAATGGTTAAGCACCCGGCTCTTGGTTTTGGTTCAGGTCATGATCTCAAGCTTTTGTGGATTTGAGCCCCGCGTTGGGCTCTGCTGGAGGCGTGGAGCCTGCTTGGGATTCTCTCTCCCTCTCTCTGCCCCTCCCTTACTTGCGCACTCTCTGTTTCTCTCAACATAAATAATAAACTTAAAAAAAATATTGAAAAAAACCCACCATGTAGAAAATAGTACTATAATGGGGCACCTGGGTGGCTCAGTTGGTTAAGTGTCCAACTTCAGCTCAGGTCATGATCTCTGGTTCATGAGTTTGAGCCCCATGTCGGGCTCTGGGCTGACAGCTCAGAGCCTGGAGCCTGCTTCAGATTCTGTGTCTCCTTCTCTCTCTGCCCCTTCCCTGTTTATACTCTCTCTCTCTCTCTCTCTCAAATATAAACATTACCAAAAATTTTTTTAAAAAGAAAATAGTACTATTTCCTTAACAGTGTTCTTGAAAAATATTTAAATATTGAGGTTCAAAAACCATATATGTCTTATGATCCTGATCTTATTCCTTCTCTGCCACGACTCCTGTCTACCCCTTCGTCTTCCACCTCCTCTCCCAGTCTGGCACGTGCATACACAAATACACACACTGAGCCAATTTGTGCTACCGAGGCTCACTCCATTCACATCCATAATCCTCCAGGTGAGCTATATAGCAGCCCTAAGCACTGAGAAGGATTTGGCATGAATCCTAGTGCTGAACCACTTGTGCTTTTTTTTCTCCTGATTTTACTAAGATATGATTGACAGCTCTGTGTAAGTTTAAGGGACACAGCATAATGACTTGACATATATATATATACTGTGAAATGTTTGCAATGTTCTCAAGAAGTTACTGGAGAAATTACTTCATTTTTCAAGTTATTGTGGCCAAAACTACTAGCTCATTATCCAAATCCTCATTCTCCTTGCTTTTCTGTGCACACAGAGAACCACATGTCACACTGCGTCTTAGAGCTGGTATGGTCCTGAGACTGAGTTAAAGCCCATGGAATGTCTGCCATTGTCATACCCAGCCTACTGAAAACCTTATTTGCTCTTTTCTTTGTTCTTTGCTCCTTCTGCTACCCTGCATAGAGATGAATCCTGGGTGATACTAGATGCCATGTGTTGAAGATATCAAGGCTCCTGTCAACCTGGTGCCTGAAAAGGCTATTGTGCCAACCCCTTCACTTCACTACTGTCATGTGAGCAAAAAGTAAACTTCTATGGTGCTTGAGCCATCAGATTTCTCTGCAGTCTATTTGAAAGAGCATATAGTCCTCCCAAACTATTACTGTTAAATACGTAAAGAAATATACACCATTGGTTTTTTTTAATGCTTCCACCAGATACAAGGCCTCCTCTTGAATTCTGTCTTCAATACTCTTCTTCCCCATGCCCATATTCCGCAAAACCATGAGGGAGAAACGCCGGACTTGCTTCCACTGCTCTCCGTTGCTGAAAATAATTCCTATCAGAAAAAAAAAAAAAAAAAGGGAGGGATGCCTGGGTAGTTTAGTAGGTTAAGGGTCCAACTCTTAATCTCAGCTCAGGTCTTGATCTCAAAGTCATGAGTTCAAGCCCTGCGTTGAAAAAAAAAAAAAAAAGCCTCCTTAAAAAAGAGAGAGAGAAGAATGACCTCCATTGCCATCAATTCTAGCTGAGTCTTTATCTCAGCAAATGATAATGACACTTAAGCAGGAATGTAACTATGGTGTGGTGCCAGCCATAAGAATTCCAATGAGCCCTGCTTAACCTGCTTTCTGTTAGCCCAGCCTCGTATCTGTCAAGACTCTGGGTTTTACATGTTACTTAACTCTTCTTCTCCATCTATTAGCTCCTTTAACCTCAGAATAACTCTGTGAACCAAGTGTTTTGTCTCCACTTTACTGGTGATCATGGAGGCAAAATGCTAGCTCTGTGGACCACACAGCTAATACATCATGGTGACTCCAAGTTGTAGGTGAAATTTTCAGGGCTGATTTTTGTATGTTGTAAGTGAATTGTAGGAGAGGCAACAAAAAGAGTCAATTCTCAAGAGAAGGAGAGAGAGCACTTGTGCACTGGAAGGAAGTTCATGAAAATCTATTCCTCTGATAAGAGACACAGCCTCTGCCCTCCTCATTTTAACATTTCCCTTCTGTGTGTAATGTCTCTGCCATGAAATATGGTTTTAACACCAAGGAAGGTCAATATCAGACTTCTGGAAGCCAACACAATATCAGGAGAAAAAACAATTCTCGTAGGATACTTGTCCATAGAGATTTTAAAGAATAGTGTAGAGGAGGAAGTGACTCCATTCAGGCCTTATCTCTTTTTACAGGAACCCAGTGACCCACCAGAGGACTGGACAGTTTAAGGCCAGCTCCAGAAACAAATGGAAGACAGTTCAAGTACTTAATATAAAAACCTTTTTAAATTTCTTTTTCTTTCCTTCCTCCCTCCCTCTTTCTTTCTTTCTTTCTTTCTTTCTTTC